CTGTCTCAGCCTCCCGAGTAGCTGGGATTACAGGTGCCCGCCACTATACTTGAATTTTTAGTAGAGATGAGCTTTCACCACTTTGGCTAGGCTGGTCTCGAACTCCTGAACTCAGGTGATTCATCCACCTCAGCCCCTCAAAGTACTGGGATTACAGGTGTGAGCCACCATGCTGGGTCCTGTTTAGTCCTATAGACTAGCTTGTCTGTTGTCTGGGCTGGAGTGCAGTGGTGCGACCTGGGCTCACTGCAACCTTCGCCTCCCGGGTTCAAGTGATTTTCCTGCCTCAGCCTCCTGAGTAGATGGGATTACACGTGCTTGCCACCACACCCAGCTAAATTTTTTTTGGGTATTTTTAGCCTAGTATACCATAAATATGCTCCCAACACATAATATTAGTCTACAGTTGGGCAAAATCATCAAATAGCCTATTTTACAATAAAGTACTCACTATCTCATGTAATTTATTGAATACTATACTGAAAGTGAAAAACAGAATAGTTGTATGAGTACTCAAAATATGATTTCCACAGAATGCATGTTGCTTTTGCATCATCATAAAGTTGGAAAATTGTAAGTTGAACCATCATGAGTTGAGAAGTGTCTTGTGCTTAGAATAATTGGTTACTGTATTAACAGAGACATTCGCTTTCTCTCGTAATGCATGCCTATTGTACTCCAGGTACTCCACACTGGATTTGGGGGAGTCTTACAGAAAATACTATGTAATTCCTACTTTGAGAACTAAAGCCTAATGTAAGAGACAGAGAGTATTGCTCTCTGATTCCAGGACAACATAGTATGTAACAGGATGCACAGGGTGTAGTGGGACTGCAGAGAGGGTGAGATGAGAGGTGGTGGTATAAGAAACCTCAGAGGGTGCGAGTTGGAGGCAGTCTAGCGATTAGAGGTCAGGTTGTAGAATCTGATGGTCCTTGTTTTGAATTCTAGTTTTGTTGGAGAATTATGTGATTTGGGACAAGTTAAATCACTTTCCTAAATTCATCTGTAAAATGAGGATAATACCTATCTAAGGCTGTAAAGATTAAATGTAATGTAAAAAGTTTAGCAGCACAGTGCCTGGAAGTATATAATAGGTGCTCATTAAATCAGAACTGTTAGTGTTAATCCTGTTACTGCTGTAGCTGTGATTCTTTGAAGGCTTAAGTAGGAGTTAGCTAGATAAAGAAAGGGCAGAGGTGAATACCTTTCTGTAGACAGGGAAGAAAATATGGGAAGCCATGGTGGCTAAAAAATATTTGGGGAATAACGATAGTATCTATCTTCATTCTACTGAGATTAAAATATTTAATACATGTAAAACACATGAGCACAAAAAAATCAGTTGTTATTCTACTTTTAGAAATATTACACTGTGGTGCTATACTGTCTCATAGGGCTTGAGTAATAAACTTTAATCTGGCATTTATTTTTTAATCATTTTGCTGTTTTTTATGCTTTAAACTTTTGCTGTATGCTCTTTAAAAGAGTTACCTACTTTAAACTCACCACCATTTGGCCAGAAAAAAAAAGTCTCTGTTCATCTGGCCAGAAACAAAAACAAAAACAAAAACAACAGTTCCTATTATTCCTTGTAAAATTCCTTTCTTACTAAAACATCTGGGTTCCTTTTGCATCTTCCCTGATTTCTTCTACTTTGAGGCCATCCCTCAAAGTTTAGTTTTCAGTTCTCACTTCCGTCATCATTTCTGATGAAGAGGTAGATGCTCTGTGGCTTCTTATGTCACTTTTACACAGAACTGGACCATCAGAAGTTAGGCATCGTCCTGTGCTTAATTAGCCCTGACTTACCTTTCCCTTAAGTTCCTCTTAATTAGATCATATGATATCGTAACATTTCTGCTTGATATATTCATCTACTGTTCCACATTTGTTTCATTTATTTGCTTCCAGAAATAATTAGAAGAGAACTGATCTAGATTTGTCAGATTTTCTTTTTTTGTGTGAGATGGAGTCTCGCATTGTTGCCCAGGCTGGAGTGCAATGGTGTGCTCTAAGCTCACTGCAACCTCTGACTGCTGGGTTCAAGTGATTCTCCTGCCTAGGCCTCCCAAGTAGTTGGGATTATAGGCACCCACCACCACGTCCGGCTAATGTTTTGTATCTTTAATAGAAACGGGGTTTCACTATGTTGGCCAGGCTGGTCTCCAACTCCTGACCTCGTGATCTGCTCACCTCAACCTCCCAAAATGCTGGGATTACAGGCGTGAGCCACTGTGCCTGGCTGATTTTTCAGATTTTTACCTTGCCAAGCTGTGATAGTTGAAAAACAATGAAACTCACCATGTACTATATTTCATTCTTTTATACAGAAAAGGATATTTTAATATAAAAATTTAGATGGGAGGACGAGGCCGGCGGATCACCTGAGGTCAGGAGTTCCGAGACCAGCCTGACCAACTTGGAGAAACCTCGTCTCTACTAAAAATACAAAATTAGCTGCTCATGGTGGCACATGCTTGTAATCCCAGCTACTCAGGAGGCTGAGGCAGGAGAATTGCTTGAACTCGGGAGGTGGAGGTTGTGGTGGGCCGAGATTGCACCATTGCACTCCAGCCTGGGCAACAAGAGTGTAACTCCATCTCAAAAAAAAAAAAAAAATTTAGAGAGACTGTAGCCTCAGAATTTAAATATATGTAGCTTTAAAATAATGTAGTATTTCAAAGTTTTTTCCTTCTTGCTTTAGACTCTTGAAAAATTTATCATATAGTGAAAACTGCTTTACTTTTTATTTAAAATTGTTTTTTTGGCCAGAGGCAGTGGCTAATGCCTGTAATCCCAGCACTTTGGGAGGCCGAGGTGGGTGGATCATTTGAGGTCAGAGGTTCAAGACCAGCCTGACCAACATGGTGAACCCCCATCTCTACTAAAATACAAAAATTAGCCAGGCATGGTGGCAGGCACTGTAATCTCAGCTACTCTGGAGGCTGAGGCAGGAGAATCACTTGAACCCTGGAGGAAGAGGTTGCAGTGAGTCGAGATCATGCCATTGCACTCCAGCCTGGGCAAAAGAGTGAGACTCCTTCTCAAAAACTAACTAACTAAATAAATAAATAAAATTTTTTTTTGAGATGTGGTCTTGTTACGTTGCCCACATTAGACTCAAACTCCTAGGTTCGAGTGATCCTCCCACCTCAGCCTCCCACGTAGTTGGGACTGCAGCTGTATACCACCATGCCCAGCTGGTGAAACACATGGCTTTAGAGTAATCTTGTACTATCTTGATACTGATCTTTGTGACTTTGATCATGTTTTTCAGTGATTCAGGTGCCTCACCACTGCCTTCTTGAAAAACGTCTCATTTCCTAGGCCTTTGTAGTTTGACCCCTGTCCTCCTTTCTAGTCTTTTTCCTCATCACATTTCTCTGTTACCAACTTTTTTCTCACAGTAGTTAGTGATCTTTGTAGATCGGATCCAACTAATGCCGTTCCAAATCTGGCTCTGCGGTTAGCTGTGTGGTCTTGAGCAAGTCACTGTAATGAGCAGAAAAGCAGACCCTAGTACCTGGAGCTGTGGTGTGTGTTCGTAATACACTCAGCTTGTTCAACTGCAGGTGTATTCCTGGTGCATCGGTGGAGGATACCAATAGTAACTACTTTAAATCATTGTTTTCTCATGTGAAAACTGAGGGTAATATTTTTTTCACAAGTGTTATGAAGATTAAATGAGCAAACTTAAAACACCTGGTAGGGTCCTTGTACTTAGTAGATACTAAACAAAAACTTACTTTTGTTGTAGTTTAATTCAGTCTTGGTCCCCTGAATGGGGGTTATAAGGTCCTTGTTTTAATCTTTTCTTGCACGTGGAATGCGCAGTTCTCATCCTTCAAGACTCTGTCTAAAATACCTTCTTTTCTCTGAACCCTTTATATCTTCTGCTAATCTCAGCTGTCTCTAAACTTAACGTGTTTCTTTTACCATTGACTTTGTTATTAAATCATGCTCCACCTGTGGCATCTTTGTAGTTACCTTTTCCTATTTAATCCTTAATTTTTTCACATACTTAATGTTTTGTTCAACTAAATTTTTCTTTTAAGAGTAGGGTTGGCTGGGCGTGGTGTCTCATGCCTGTAATCCCAGCACTTTGGGAGGCCAAGGCTGGTGGATCACAAGGTTAGGCGATCGAGACCATCCTGGCCAACTTGGTGAAACCTCATGTCTACTAAAAAACACAAAAAAATTAGCTGGGCATGGTGGTGCATGCCTGTAGTTCCAGCTGCTCGAGAGGCTGAGGCAGGAGGATTGCTAGAACCCAGGAGACGGAGATTGCAGTGAGCCGAGACTGCGACACTGCAGTACAGCCTGGGCGACAGTGCGAGATTCCATCTTAAAAAAAAAAAGGTGTGGGGTCTATGTTTAAAAGGGGATTTGAAACCAGTCAAATTATTTTCCAGGAGCTGATTTCTTCAGACTTGTATCTTGAGTATCTTGTACCCAGCAAATGCTTTAAAATAATTAATGCAAAAGGAGGAGATCATGTCATGAAATTTCACCTCTCCTAAGTACAGTGGTATTGTGAAATTGACATAAGCCAGATGCTTAGTTCAAAGCTGATATGGTGCCTCTGTGTCCCTGCCCAAATCTCATCTCTAATTGCCTCTGTGTCCCCACATGTCAAGGGAGGGTCCTGGTGGGAGGTGATTGGATCATGGGGGCAGTTTCCCCTATGTTGTTCTCATGGTAGTGAGGGAGTTCTCGTGAGAGCTGATGGTTTTAAACGTGGCACTTCCTTGCTCTGTCTCTCCTGCTGTCATGTAAGACATGCCTTACTTCCTCTTCTGCCATGATTATACGTTTCCTGTGGCTTTTTTAGCCATGAGGAACTGTGAGACAATTAAGTCTCTTTCCTTTATACATCACCCAATCTCTGCAATTCCTTTATGTCAGGAAAAAAAAAAAAATACATTACCCAGTCTCAGGTAGTGTATAGCACTGTGAGAGTGGACTAATACAAAAGCTTTCTGCATCTTCTTTCCTAGACAGTACAATGGTGGGTGAAGAGAATATGTCTCTAAGAAACCGGCTGTCAAAGTCCAGGGAAAATCCTGAGGAAGATGAAGACCAGAGAAACCCTGCAAAGGAATCCCTAGAGACACCTAGTAATGGTGAGACTTAAAAAAAAATTTTTTTTTGAGGTGAATTAGTGAAATAGAGAACAAATACATTATAGAATAAGTATTGCCATCTCTTTGGTAAGAGTTTTATATGTCTAGTAAAGAAATAAGAAAGTAAGTTATTTCTTGTTAATGAATTCGGTGGACATCTATTAGTATCTGCTGTGTTTTAGATACCATTCATTCAGTCATCTAACCTAACCATTGCTGAGGTGCCCCGATGAATGCTGGGGCTACAGCAGTGATCAGTACAGATTTGTTTGCCAAGCTCCAAGTTAAGTGAATGAGAAAACCTCCAAAATTGTACACATAATTAGATTATCGCAGTGTACTAGTCTTTTAATTAACTACTCTTATAATAGATATAGTGAGTAAAATGTGAGTAATTAGCAGCGTGCCTAACCCCGTTCAATACCGAGCTATAAATCTTGGGAGGGGAGCAGTTAGGGGGTTTTATTCATTCTTGTGTCCACATTTGCTGAATGCATGACTACAAGGAGGAATACGATAGTGCTTTGTGGTTCAGGTCAAGGTTTATGATTATGAATGATAGACTTGCAAACACAAGTCTAATTGATGTCATCTATTGCATCAGCGACATTTGCAGTGACATTTATAAAGGTTGGATTTCAACAAGGATTTGAAATTTGAGACTTGTTTAGTTAACAAATAGGTGTGGGACCTTCTGAGACAGGTTGTCTTTGGCATTTCATCCCTTTTCATAAAGAAACAGTTTTGTATTTCCTACCTAAATTTAAACTTAAATATCAACAGCTGGTTTTCACCAGGAATGTAAATATTGCTGCTTGAGTTGGCATAATGAGGTTTATTGATGGGCTCTTAGTTAGCTGTATATGACATATTTATATTGGGTATGGGCTACTTTTAGTGTTATATGTAATGTGAAATGTACGCAAAGGAGGGTGAGCCAATACTGAGGAGAATTCTCCTTCCGTGATTTAGAGACTTAGTGATAATCCAGCTTGTTTCCCCTGCCTGCATTCTCATACATTAGAAACTCTCTGCTTGTTTGTTCTTTCCAGTTCTTGGGACAGAAAAATTGTTTTAATTGAAACTTTCTGTGACTGCATATGATGTTTCTCTTTATGTTCCAGTTTTTAAAAAGATTCTAAATTTGTCCGATTTCTATGCATTTTCAATGTTCTTTGTTGTCCTAGTTCATTAAGTTTTAGTCAGTCCAGGTTTTAGTGCAGGTGTAAAAAATGGAATTGGTGGGCTGGGCACTGTGGCTTACGCCTATAATCCCAGCACTTTGGGAGGCCATGGCGGGTGGATCACAAGGTCAAGAGATCAAGACCATCCTGGTCAACATGGTGAAAGCTCGTCTCTACTAAACATACAAAACAATTAGCTGAGCACGGTGGCGCGCGCGTGTAGTCCCAGCTACGTGGGAGGCTGAGGCAGGAGAATTGCCTGAACCCAGGAGGCGGAGGTTGCGGTGAGCTGAGATCGCACCATTGCACTCCAGCCTGGGTAACAAGAGTGAAACTCTGTCTGAAAAAAAAAAAAAAAGAAATTGGTTAGCTTAAATCAAGAAGTTTAACAACCTTAATGTAAGTAATGCTAATCTGAAAGTGTTGCTTCACCTACTGTAACATTTGTTCATCTTGGGGAGTAAGTGCTTTGGGAGTGATCCCAAAGTGCTGCGATTATAGCTGTGAGCCACTGTACCCAGCCTGGTCTAGGTGCCCTTTTTTCCCCTCCTTTTTTCTTTTCTTTTTTTTTGAGACAGTTTTACTCTTGTTGCCCAGAGTAGACTGCAATGGCGTGATCTTGGCTCACTGCAACCTCTGCCTGCTGGGTTCAAGCCATTGTCCTGCTTCAGTCTCCCAAGTAGCTGGGATTGCAAGCATGCACCACTATGCCCAGCTAATTTTGTATTTTTAGTGGAGACAGGGGTTTCACTATGTTGGTCAGGCTGGTCTTGAACTTTTGACCTGAGGTAATCCACCCACATTAGCCTCCCAAAGTGCTAGGATTACAGGCATGAGCCATCGTGCCTGGCCTTTTTTCTCCTTTTTATTTCCCTCTTTCTCCTTCTTTGTTTGTTCCCTTTTCCCCCATCTCCTTCTTTTCCTTTTCCTTCCATTCCTCCTAATTTTTTTCTTTTTTTTTTGAGACAGTCTCACTCTGTCACCTAGGCTGGAGTGTGGTGGCGCGATCTTGGCTCACTGCAACCCCTACCTCCCAGGCTCAAGTGATCCTCCTGCCTCAGCCTCCTGAGTAGTTGGAATTACAGATGTATCCCACTACGCCAGGCTAATTTTGTATTTTAACAGAGTCGGGCTTCAACATGTTGTCCAGGCTGGTCTTGAACCCCTGGCGAGTGATCTACCCTCCCTCGCTTCCTAAAGTGCTGGTATTATAGGCATGAGCCACCATACCAGGCTTTCATTTCTTTTAAATTTTTTAGTAATATATTTGCATACTGTTAAAGTCGCCATTTTAAAGTTTATAATTCAGTCGTTGCTAATATATTTACAAGATTGTAGAACCATCACTGTTGTTTAATTCCAAAACATTTTTATCAACCCAAAAACAAGTTCTGTTTCTCTCTTCTCTTAGCCTCTAGCAACCAGTGATATACTTCCTGTCACTTCAGATTTGCTTGATCTAGGCATTTCTTATAAGGGGATTTGTAGAACATGTGTTCTTTCTGTCTGGCTGCTTGCACTTAGCATAATGCTTTCCACATTTGTTTGTTTTTTTTGATTTGATGGGGATCTTGGTCTGCTGTCCAGGCTGGATCTCAGTGGCTATTCACAGGTATGATTATAGCACATTGCAGCCTTGATCATCCTGCCTCAGCCTCCTGAGTAGCATGTTTTAATATGTATCAGTACTTCATTTTTTTGTGTGGCTGAATAATATTTCATTGCATAGTTATGATACATTTTGCTTATCTGTCAGTTGATATTTATTTTGGGGGTTTATTTACAATGATTGGCTATTATGAATAATGCTGCTATGGACATTTTTATAGAAGCTTATGGAATATATCTTTTCAGTTCTCTTGGGTATGTGCATGAGTTGAGTTGCTGAGTCATGGTAAATGTATGTTTAGCTTATTGAGGAACTGCCATACTTTTTCAAAATAGCTATTTCTTCTTACAGTCCCACCAGTAATGCTTGAGGGTTCCAATTTCTCCATATCCTCACCAAGACTTGTTATTATCTGTCTTTTGATGATAGCCTTTCTGCCAGCAGATTAACAATCTAGTGTCAGTTTAAGCACCTTTGATCTAAATGTAAGGTAGTGTACCAGGTTTGTTAGTAGGGAGCTTGAAGTTGGTGTCCATAAGATACCCAAACAGAAAACAATCCTTTGTTATAAATAGGAGTTAAGTGAGTTATAGTAACCAAATAGAGACAAACTGGGGAGGGGGGATCCCATGCTTTAGAATGGAGGGAAGTCTCACTAAAGTAGATTTTGAGTTTGGCCTTTGAGATAAGAAGACTGGGAGAGGACTTTCAAGCTAGAGAGGTATGCGCTTGCCAAGACGTTAAGACAGTATAGTGTGTGTGGTGTTTTGTTTGCTTTTAGAGAGGTTGAAGGTAGGTAGTACAGATGGATTTGTGGTTGCTTTTCATGGATAGGAGTATAGAGCAAATTGGAAATGCCAGAAGTAAGTAAGAAGATAAGGCTCCAACAGCCTCTCAGTGCCCAGCCAACTGCCCTGGCAGCCGGTGGATAGTGGCCCTTGCTAGGGACCCTCCAGTGGGCCCAGGACGACAAAAGTGGCTCTAAATTTAACACATGCACATTGAAGCAAGTCAAAGGATTTGTTATGAAGCATGGAAGCAGATAGTGCCAAATAGCAAGCGGCAATTGGTATACATTTGGTGAGTGGGGCAGCATTTCCTTCTTTCACTGTTGCTGAGGTGGTGGGAATTAGTTGAAATCAGTGTGAAATGGAACACACTGAAGGTATTTGTTAATGAAGGTTCCAGAAGAGTTAAAAGTAGCACCACCAAATGCTGACCTAGACCAAGGATTTCAAGGAGTCACAAATGCTAGTGTGACCAGGCAAATTCCAGAGAGGATCGTAGTAGGAAGTAATAAAGACATTTGCTTTTGAAAGCCAGCCCATCTCAACCTTTTTCAGTCAACTCCCTTTAAACTTTGGCACTAAAATCAGTGCCCTGTGTACTTAAATGAAAGATGACTAGGTTTTCTGGATTTAGAAACACTACCTTCAATACCTCAAAATGAAATCTGTTCAGTTGGCAGTTGTGAATGAAAAAGGCCATGTATTTGCCAAAACAGACGGCTGGTCAGAAGTGATGCTATACCTGGGTTGTGTGGGATGTCTGCTGCTGCCGCTTCTAATCCTCATCATGACAGTGTCAGTGCGGCATTTCAAACATAGGAATGTCAGATGATATGACTGTTGTAGATGCAACTTTATAAAGATGGTAGATAAACAGAATGGACATCTACAGCTTCTAAAAGAGGAGCGCAAAACACATGCAAAAAGAAATGGTCAGTGTTCAATTACTGAAGCATTCTGGCTGCTTAATACGGACTCTGGTTTTGTTGCTAAAGGTGATGTTAGTTCTCAGAAATATTGTATCAACATGTTCTGTGTGGTGGCCTGCACCTATAGTCCCCAGCTGCTTGGGAGGATCGATCGAGCTCAGGAGCTGGAGTCCAGTCTAGGCAACATAGTAAGACTCCATCTCTTAAAAAAAAAAAGTGGTTTCAACTACTGGAAGTATAAAAGATTTGCAAACCTTAAAAGAAAAAAAAAAATAGGACTTGAAGTCTTACTGTATATGTTGTGATTGACTGAAGACCACCTGTGTGGATGATTTTGGACAAATCTTACAGCTTGTCAGTGAGTGCTTAGGTTGCCTTTTAGGCAAAGCCAAGGATAGCAAGTATGAAAGCACTCTTTATGTGTATATAGCACTGTGTTCATTAAGATACTATCTTATTGGTGGTGCTGCTAGCTCTTCTTTCCCAGTTC